GAGAGATGAGAAGCTGAGGGAAACACTGAGAGAATTTGCTACATTAGATGAAGTCGGGCTGATTTAGGTATGAATGTCATGTGGGCCAGAGATTTTCCACTCTATTTTATTTTCTAGTACTGGGGATTACACCCAGCACTAGATAGTCTTCATGAAGGAGGTAACTTCAGCTAGACTGTTAGGAACTGTAGAATTTTAATAGAAAACAAGAGAGACAACAAAAAGTTAGGTAATGGCACGTAAGCCACGAGCTCTGGAGCATAGCGTACACGACACTTTGTGTTGTATTGTGTTGTCATATTTATCAGTGAACTTTTCGCATTTCAGTCCCTCCTGAGCTTAGTCAATGTGATGATCAACACTGTCCTTCCACATGCCCCCAAGATCACAGTTCTCTCCCAGTTAAGAGGTCATAGAATTCCTTATAAATATATTTATTCTGTATAAATTCCTATATATTTTTCCTTTTCTTGCACAAAAGTAAATAATAGGATACACTTGACTGTGCATCATTCCCCACCTCAATTCTTACTAGCACATGCAAGATTATATTTTTCTTTCAATACTACATATATATGCAGTGTCAGCAATAATTGTCATCGTTTAACCAACCTTTTTTCTATTGAAGGACACGTGGTTTGTGTTTTGTCACACAGTGATGCAGTGAACAACTTTCACATTTGCAGTCTTGGGCAAATATTTCTGTGAGACAATTGCTACATGTAGAATTGCATTGGAAAATATATACTTAAGGCATAATATGTGTAATTACTTTAAAATCTGTATTGGTGTTAACATAAAATATGACTCATATTTGCTTTTGGCAGAAGTCATTTAAAATTTTAAAAGCCTGTGCCAGATCTGGTGGCTTATGCCTATAATCTCAATACTCAGGAAGTTGAGGCAGGATAATTGTTCCAAGGTTAAGCTCAGTCCTGAACTGCATTGTAAGACCCTATCTCAGAAAAATAAATAAATAAATTCATAACAGGTTATAATTCGCATATTTTGCTGGGCAGTATTGAACCACTGGTGTACATGCATGATTGTCCATCAGGTGGCATAGGCTAGTGCCTTTGAGAAATAGAGGCTACCCGATGTTAAAGTCATGGACATCCCACTGGTGGTACAGGCTGCCTGGTAAGACAGTCATGCTTGTACTGCAGGTGGTTCAAACTGGCAGGAATGTGTTAAGCCTTCTAGACAATCTGTAGTTTTATCATTAAAATTTGAAATTAGAATAGTGATGGTATAATAACTACAAATAATTCAATGTCTCTTCTGTTTTTAGGTTGCTTTGCTTGATTGACTACTATGAATCTAAAATTAGAAAAATCCATACACAAAGGTATGAATAATTACCTTCTGGCAATTTCCAGTCCAATAAGAGAGATAAAAAATAAGCATAAGAATAATTAAGAAAATAACATCAGACTTAAAAACTAATATACAATGTCATACTGAATTTATTAAAAATTATGCAGATAGCAAATACTATAGGGCTTTAGAACAGGAGATCAGTTTTTTCATGGAGTGACCAGGAGATCCAAGTAATGTGGGTTGTACTTTGAGTTAATAGGTATCATGTGGAAAAGCATAGAGGAAAAAGATAAATATTTTTCTTTGGATTACCTTCTGCTTGGATTTTATGAGTAAAATACCTGGACATGGAAGTGTAAGACTGTATGGCATGATAAGTCAGTATGGCTGGAGTTAAAGGAATTTGTTGTTATGTTAGCAGGTTAGTATGGTAACCATGGAGCATAGTCATTAAAAGCTTGGGGAAGAGTTGGATATAAATGAGGAGACATCACTAGCTACTTTGCTTTTTTGCTACAGAAATCCTAAGTGATGTGATTATACATATATTTTAGGTTCTTCGAGAAAAACAGTATGAATAACATGGGTAGACAGATAAAAAAAAAATTGGTTTGCATGATTATAAGACTAGCAAATTTGAAACTTTCAAGGCAGCCCAAAGACCTGAGAATAGCTGTTTCATTCTTGAGGCTAAATGAAATCTAGAGTCAGAATTCCTCAGGGGAATCCCAGTCTTTGGGTAAGACCTCCCATATTATGAGCAGTACCCTGCTTTACTCAGAGTCTTCAGACTCAAGTGCTAATCACGTGTAAACTGTTCTTCACAGTAACATCTTGATGGTATTTTACTAAGCTGCTGGGCACAAGCCATGGTCTACTGAAACTGACACATGAAACTACCCATCACCATCTCAGTAAAAAGAAAGAAAAATGAATTTCATGGCTTAATAAGCTATATATTTTTATGCTCATAGAGTCAGGGAATAATGGGTTAAGCAGGTCAGGTGGTGACTGCATATTGCAAAGCTGTGCACCATCTAAAGAAAGCAGTCCGGAGAGATGACGAGCCTAGTGTCGCTAAACTAATTGGATTTTTCAAGGGATGCTGGAAGGTCTGATATATTAAATGAAATTAAGTTTTTAATATTTACAGTTCTATTTTAGAAAATATGTAGTCTGAATTGAATGCTAGTTTTAACTTCTGGTATATGTCTTCTGTAAATTCTAATCTAGATTCAGATGTTGGCAAACTTTTTCTGTAAAGGGTTCAGCTGTAGTTATTTTGATCATGTTTTGTCACAGCTACTGTTTTCTTTTGTACCATAGAATCAGCCATAGCTAATACATAAATGAACTGGCATAACTGTGTTCCAGGAAAGCTAGTTATAAAAGCCCAGAACCTGCTGGTCATATGTGATATGTGGAGAGCACCTTGCAGACCTTTAATCTAGGTGATAGAGAAGGTTTGAGGTTTTTAATACGAGTAGGGAGGATTTAGCATAGCCATCGTGACATCTTCTATGTAGAATACGGTATGAGATAGGTCTCTGGAATTCTGGAAACCAGGTTTTCTGTTAAGATGATTAAAGGACTTAGGCCACTGAAGTGGTGATGATAAATGTTATCACAAATTTTATAGCAAAAAATCTGGGCTGAAAAATGTGAGACTTTGGGGAGAGGAGTCACTCTTTAGATTTTTTTTTTAAAGACACGGTTTTGCTGTGTAGTTCGGACTGGTCACTAACTCATTATGTAGCCCAGGCTGGCCTTGAACTTACCACAAGCCTCCTACCTCAGCCTCCCAAGTACTGGGATTACAAGCCTCTGCCTCCATGCCTGGCTCATTCTTCAACAAGCGTTTCATCGATGGTCTAGCTTAAGTGAAATTCTTTGACCTGTACACAGTAAGTTTGCGTTAGATATTTAGAGGTTTATTGTTCTGCGGTGCTGGGGGTTGTACCCATGGCCTGCACATGCTGAACAGGTGCGCTTTCACTGATGCCTGAGAGTGACATAAGAAGAAAATGGGAGGTCGCTTATAAGTAATTTTCTTACAAAATGAGAAAGTTAGAATTCTTTTAAACTTCTCAATAGTAATCTCTCCTTTACTAAGGAGAGTTTTCTAGGATTGACAGTTTATAAATTCAGGTTAGGTGAGTGTGATTCTGAGAGTGAGTACTACCTTGATAGTGAGATCGTAGCAACTTCGCATTAGATTTTGAGGTCTACTAAGAGGACACTAGTGTCACCTGAAGTAGGAATACTGTAAAAGGTAAAGAAAAGATGAAAGGAGTGAGATGAGAGAAGACAGGCTCATATTTCGAGGGCTAACTTGAGTAATTACTTAGAAGAAGAATATGTTTCTATCCTATATTAGTACCTCTCTAGCTTACTCTCTGTTGTCCTCTGAAGAGCAATACTAAAGGAGAAAGATCAAATCTAGGCAAGGCCTCTGCACTGAGTTACGTTCCCATCTCTGTCTCATTTTTTTTATTTTGAGAAATACCTCACTCACTAAAGCTCTCAAGCTTGTGATCCTTTTGCTTCAGCCAAGAGTTCTGGGATTACAGATGTATACCAGCATGCACCATCCTTTTTTTTTTGGTGAAACCAGGGATTGAACTCAGGCCCTTACACTTGCCAGGCAAGTGCTTACTCTACTGAGCCATCTCCCTGCCCCTGCCTTTTTTTAAGAGAATATCCAGTTTTTCTCCTGGTAGAACTCTTGTCTGCATGCTTAATATAACACAGTGTTGTGCTTATTATTTGTAGTAATAAGTCATTTGGCTGAATTAATCCACTAATACGAACTGGTGATATGTTTGTATGTAATTTGTTTATATGTGGAAATTATGCATGTATCAGCACACATCAGACTACAGTAGTCACCCTCATACGATGCAGTAGTTAAAATGAAATGTAGTACTAAACAAAAAGTTATGTTTAATAGAAAAATACTTGTGCTGCTTCTGCTTTTGAATTTAAAATTTAAAGTGAAATAAAACATTTAGTTCTTTAGTTGTATTAGTAGTATTTCAAACGCTTTTAGCAACAGGTTAGCTAGAGGTTTCCATACAAGATAGCACAGTGTTATTTCATCAAAATACTGTGCTTTTGGTTTTCTCTTGTTGTTGTTGTTGTTGTTTGTGTTTGTTTTGAGGCAGGGTCTCACTGTGTAGTTCAGCCTGGTCTTGCACTCACAAGGTAACCCAGGCTGGCCTCAAACTCACAGTGGTCTTCCTGCCTCAGCCTTCCAAGTGGGAGGCCACCTCACCTGGTCTTCATCAAGGTTGAAATATTGATTGCCCAAAACCTTGCAGTACAGATTGCTTCAGTATCTGTTATTTTCATACCAATATTGTGAGATTTAAATGACAATATTCTTTTTTTTTTAATGACAATATTCTTGTACAGATGAGAAAACAAATTCTGAGATTGATCTGTTCAAATAACTGTTAAATGGTGGTGCCAAGACTTGAATCAAGACTGTTAAGTCTATGGCCTTGTCCATTTATGTTCTATACTTTTTTTGTACAGCTTTTTAGAGTAACCTTAAATTACTACGGAAAAAAGTATATAGAGAATGTATTTTTATTTTTTAAAAAATTTTTAATAGATTACAAATTGAAAATAAATTATTTATAAACATAAATGAATATAACAATAAAAATTGTCCAAAATGAAGAAAGAATTTACAGATCAGTCATAATAGTTCACTGTGTCAAAACCAAGAAGAGAATGTATTTTTAAAAGGCCATGGATGAGGGCCAGGGAGGTAGCTCAGTAGAATAAGCACTTGCCTGGCAAGCACAAGGTCCTGAGTTCAATCTCTGGTATAACCAAAAAAAAAAAAAAAAAAGGCCATGGATGTTTCTTATCTTTTATGTTTGTTTGTTCAAGTGTCTTTTTCACCTCCTCTCATGCCCCATATTCTTCTAAGTAGTAAGATAACAGTGAACAAAACTAAATTCTGGTCTTCATACGTTGTAAGTAAGGAGATAGTAAACAGATACATCATGTAATAGCAGGTAGAAGTGTGTTCTAATATTCCCCGAGACTGAGGAAGTTTGGCTTAATTGTAATTAATTGTTCCATAGTTAGTATTTAGTTTATTAAACATTTAGTAGATTGGTTTAATTTTTACTAGATGTTTTTCTTTAGAGGCACACTTTTCATGAGAAGTAAATTGCATGTGTCTTTTCATAGGCAGTATAAAAAAGATGAAAGTCAATCAGAAGAAGAAAAAGATTACAGAAATCTGAATGCCTCCCCACCTTACAAAGGCCTTCTAATGGTATGGGACTGAGTAACTACTAGATCTTTTTTCTGAAGTAAAATAATTACCTGGGAAAGTTAATTATTTTTCTGTGTAATGTGTTCCAGTCACTACAGAATCAACTCAAGGAATCAAACTCCAAGATTGATGCACTTTTAAGTGAAAAGCTGAACCTCCAAAAAGATTTAGAAAGCAGGTGAGAAAACCTCATGCAATGTTTCTGTATTGCTTAAAAAGTACATGCATATTGGAATTTGAAATGTTAAATGAACCGTTCTAGCATTTTTGCCCTGAAGGTAATCCTGAGTACTTCAAACTCATTTTCATTTTAGTCATGTTTCTCATTATAAGTAATAGAATAAAAACCTATTGATGGGTCTGGGGAGATAGCTCAGCAGCACAGCATCTGTCTGGCAAGCTCAAGGACCTGAGTTCTGTTTCTGATATAAAAAATATGAATCCATTAGTCATCAAGGGAAAGAAAAAAAATAGGAGTGCTTGTTGAAGATACAATTGGGTAGAATTTCGAGTCAATTCAGTGACTTAAAATTAACTCTATGGAGGTATAATTGATGAACAATGCATTACATACATTTAAAGTGCACAATTTAAAAGTTTTTGACGTAAATCTTCTATGAAACAATCACTAAAACAATCATCCTGGGCGGGGAGTGCAGCTCAGCAGCCCAAACGCCCACCTAGCAAGCCCAGGTCCTGAGTCTGATTATACGTAACAAAATAAAATGAAATGAAACAGTCATCCTGAAAGCCTTCTGTTGTCCCTTTGTAATCTCGTCTTTCTGATCTGTTTTCTGTCATTTTTACATTAGTTTTCTATTAGTTTGTACTTCCTAGACTTTTTATAAATGGAGACATGCCATGTTTGTTTTTTGGTTTTCTTTCCGCATATTTTTTTTTAATTTAAAATTTGAAACTGTAAATTGAACTATTATAGTTATCTATGTTATGGGGTACAAAATAATGTGATTTGGGAATGTGGTGTGCAGTAATTAAGGAATTAACATATCCATTATCTCAAACACTTAGGTGAAAACATTTTGAAATGTTTGAAGTGATTTTGCAATAATGAGTATTTACTGTATTAGATTCAATATTATACCCATGAGTTTCTCACTGCCAAATTACTTTAGGCTGTCTTTTAATTTCTTCTTATCCCTGTGTTATGGGAGGACAAGAAAAGTAATTTTTGAAACACAACAGAAGGCTATATATAGAATAGGTACAAAAGGATAACCTTGTTGACAGGACTAGTGAGGAAGGAACATTATTAAGACTTCATTCTTTCAATACTTGGTGAATACCTGTTAGAAGTTATCCAGTGTTTCAAGCTCTAGAATGAAATGGTGACTGAAACAAATCTCTTCTCATAAAGCTTATACTTTGTTTTTAGCTGGGGATTGAACCCATGCTCTGTGGGTACCAGGCAAGTGCTCTTCCATTGAGCTACATGCCTTATCCCTAAAGCCTACACTTGAATGGAAAAAGATCATTAACATAAACCATTTATATAAGTCTGAAAGCCTGCCCTTGGTAAGATGTAAGTTTATGATTACACAAATATGTAGTAAAAATTAAGAACATAAATTTAGGAATGAAGTGAATTCAGATAGTGGCCTCCTAGAAAGGAGAAGAATGACGCTGAAGGACACAGAGTTTTAAGTATGTATGTTTTAATTAAAGATTTGAAACAAATCTATCACTATTCAGATTTTATGAAGCTAGGTAGTAGATATGCCATGATTTATTATAATAAATCCTGTTATTATCTATATATTTGAAATATTTCACTATAAAATCAAATACTAAATTACCAAAAAAGAGGAAAAGGTTGAATAAAGAATAATGCAAGAAAAGAAATCTAAGTTGCCAGGAAATATCTCAGTAGCAGTCGTGAGCTATTTTAAGAATTTTACTCTTATTTATGTCAAGTAACAAGTATTTACACAGTTTTAGTCAATGAATTGAATGCATTAACGTGATTTATTTTCTACAGACCCACACAACATGAATTAAGACTTTATAAACAGCAAGTGAAGAAACTGGAGAAAGCCCTCAAGAAAAACATAAAGTAACTATATTTTCCTAAAGTTACAGCTTTTAGTAGAGTTTGGTGTTTCATGGTATATTTTCCCTTACCGTAGCCTAACCCTAACCCTAACCCTAACCCTAACCCTAACCCTCGTGCTAACTCACTGTAGCCTCGGCTTGGGATTATCAGCCTAACTGGGGAAATGATAGGAAAAGTGGACATTTTTGGTTGCACAGTTTTAAAGCAATAGCCAGTGTATCCAGTGTATCCATATCCAATATCTGGCGTAATAAGGGAAAAAGAAAAAAGATTTTAAGTAGAAAATTCTTTGGAAGTAATGAAAGAGTTGCAAGAGAATCAATGAAATTGCAGATGACAGATTCCCAGTTTTTCTTGTTGATAGTCATGATTTGAAATTTTTAAAGTCACTTAGTACCAGAAGGCATAAAGTGAGTTATGCTTATCCACCACTTTTACCCACCCTAGCTTTGAAAAGCAAGTTTGCAAAGGTTTTCAAAAAGTTAATCTCTAATGGTAGTATTTCCTAAAGATTATGTTTAAGTGGGGTTGTAGCTCAGTGGCATAAATACATGCCTGGCAAGCACAAGGTCCCAAGTTTGATCCCTGGTACAAAAAAAAAAAAAAAAAAAAAAATTATGTTTAGTCTTTGATTCAAGAGAATGGAATTTCAATACTTTGAGGACGTTGGGATGAACTATTTTGAAAACTGTATAAGCTAATATATGCATTAAATATGTTAAGAAATTTGTATCAGTATACATTGATTCCATTTTCATTGAGAGCTCTATTTTCTCCTTTCTGTGGCAACATATATCACAAGTGAAAGGCAAATGTAAACATCTGTGATTACCTGTTTAGTTAAATTAATATGGTTGGGAAGACAAAAGAATTAGGTTTGGAGAGGATGCATTCATTATTCAATGAATAATTTTTGCCTTTCCACTATTCCTTGGTATCTTGGGTACCCATAATATGTCCTACTATCTGCTTTGCATTCTAGACTGATGTTGCAGAGGTATAATAAACAGAAAAAGTCGCTGACCTCATAGAGATGCCACAAAGAGAAAATGATAACAAAAGAATAAGACAATTTCAATATCATATAAGTACTAAATGTAAAACTGTTAGAAAGTAGCTATTCTGAGTTTGGACAAGAGATAGTAGTGAAGTGGTCAGTGGTGGTAATGGTGCAGGTGCCTTGGGGTGTAGGAATTAGAGTAATATTAGAGCTAGAACTGATAGTACTTTGTGATGGATTGGCTAGAAGGAATTGAGAGAATGGGAAGAAACAAAAATCTCCTGAGTCTTAGGCCTGAAAAGAAGTCCTCTGTGTTGTTAAGTGAGATGGGAGGACTGGTGTAGTGGATTGCTAACTTATGGTCAACTTGTTACACCCAGCTGACCTGAACTAGCATGGTGCTGGGTGTGGGAGGCCCACCTGTGGATTGTTGCCAACAACATAAGGGGCAGAACAGGAGAAGCTGTTGGAAGCTACTGTTCTCTTGGGCTGTTCAGCCGGAGGACCTTGTCATGCTGGCTTTCCTCATGAACATGGCTGTTTTAGCTGGAGGAGGTCAAGACCTTCATTGTCACTAAGATTGGCTACAGTTCATTTTGGGAGAGCTCTGTTCCTTTTCTTGAGCATTGCTTCCTGACTCTGGAGAGGAAGATGGTGCACTGCTCAACCTCATGGAGAAGCTTGGCACCTCTAGCTACAATGATGGTTATCTGAAACAAGGCCTCATCTCAGGGCCATACCAGGGCTTTACTAATTTGTGAAGAAGGAGGTTGCTTGCAGATAAGTGACTGAGAGTGGTGGGAAGTAGGTGAGTGCTGTGAGCTGGGCTAGCTAGGTAGGAGGCCTGAAATCACCTCTGCAATATGCAGAGGAGGAGGATATGTGGAAAGAGTAACCTGTATAACACACTTGCAGTAGTATCTCATGTTGTGGGATCAGTGCTTCAGCTCTGATGTGTAATCTCTTATGCCCTGGAAGTCACAGCCTCTTGTCTTGTGGCTTAATCCCAGTGAGCAGGACGCAACACTGCTCTCCATTCCTCTCAGGCTCACTTTTTTTGTGGGAAGCTAGGAGGCCAGGGAAACACTGCCCTGTTACCTTACCTCAAAGATGACACATGAGAACCTCAGCTGGACCCCTTTACCTTTCTTAAAGCCAATTGAAGGGATAAGGAAAAGTCCTAGCCAGCTTTGGACTTAACAGTACATGGAAACAGGATGAGGTTTAGCCAGAATGAAGATAATTCTCCTTTCAAGGAGAGTTGTCTGGATGGTACTCCAGGCTCTCCTTTCAACCTTTCTTCCCCTGCCTGTTTAAAAGAGCTTTATTTCATTTTTTTCTCTCTCTTTCTTTCTTTCTTTCTTTCTTTCTTTCTTTCTTTCTTTCTTTCTTTCTTTCTTTTACCTACTCCTCCCCCTCTGTTCTCCTCCCATTTGAACATGTTCTTCCTACTTTCCAATATGTCTTTCATTATGCTCCTTATTTATACTTTGGGTTTGTCAGACAAGAAGAACCAGGCAATACTTAAACTTGTATGTATGTCTATTTATTTGGCTTAACATTATGGTCTCAAGTTGCAAAAGTTTTCCTACAAATGACTCAGGTTTATCCTTCTTTATGGCAGGCTAGTGTATAAATACTACAGTTTCTTTATTGATTCGTCTTTTTTTTTTTTTTTTTTTTTTTTGGTACCAGGAATCAAACTCGGGACCTTGCACTTGTCCCTGGCCCTATCCATTCATCCTTTGATGGGTATATGGGCTGTTTCCAAGATCCAGATAGTATAAATTGTGCTGCTATAAACATATTACTGTCATATGATGTTTTTAACTCTTTTAGGAAGAACACCTATATTTTGAATGGGATGTGCAGTTTTCTGAATTTCTTAAGTCTACAAAGAAATAGCCATCGCCCAGGCTATACAGAATAAGCATCAATACTAAGCATGTAGATTACTTCTGAGCCAATTCTAGGGAACTTCTGTACCCGTCAGGCCTACCAGACTGTGTTGGGGATTACAAAACAGAGCATGTTTATGAGTGTAGCCTGATTCCAGTGGTGATGCATTTTAGAGACAAATGCCTGGACTGCAACCCCAAACCCACTTATTTATTGCAAAGTGCCAGCGCAATTAAACCTGAATACTGAGATTTTAGTTTAGAAAAAAATAATTCATACATTAACCTTTTATCTTACAAAACAAAAATGCATGCCATAGGTTTGCCAGCACTGGGGCTTGTCCCGACCCGCGGGTTAGTCAACGAAAGTCACCTGGGAGAGGAGGGGGGAATGGAGGAGGGGACAAAGGACAGGAGACTCAAGAAATGGAGACAAGACAAGATTCTGATCAAGTCTTGTTTATTCAGGGGAGGTTCTGGGTATATATAGGAGTGTAGGAATGAGGAAGTCTTGGCTCTTGCCCTCAGCAGGTATCTAGGCAACGGGGAAGGTCCCACCCCTAGGGCATAGCATGTGATTCACAGGGAATGGGCAAGGTGGGAAGGAGCAGAAACTTAACTCAGCAGGGGAATAGAAACTTAAGAAAATGGCTGACACTATTATAGAATGGATACCAGTTAATGGCTTCCCACAGGGGCTGTCATAATACAGGTTTCTAAAGCACCAATTCATATGCAAAGAGAAAATGAAGGAATGTTTAGCAGTGCAGCATACAAGTCACCTTGTAATAGATACTCAGAAGGTAAGTTAGACTGCCTGTCTAGGTGTTCCTGTGTCAGAGCCTGCTCATGCTGAGCCTCTAAGTCTGGAACACCTTGGAATGGAAACTGCTTCCATCTTTTGTTGTATCTTTACCAATCTGTTTTCATTGGTGTTGGAAGGTGATTAGAAATTGTTTTTCTTCAATCAGATCCCTGTGGTCAGTGTTCAGGGATTTCTTCTAATTTGTGTTTTGTTGAGAGGAACTTGTTATTTTCCAGTGTTAATATGAGTTAAATTTTTCTTTATGCACCCAAGTAAATAAAATGACATTAGGTTTTCGGAAGGCCAGCTGGATCATTGACTCTGTCATCCTAGTGTAATGTCTAGGAAAGAATTTTGTGTTATTTTGATTTTTTTTTCCCCTTTAGATTACAGGAACTTATCAGTCATACAAAAACTGAGGACACAGAAAAAAAAGATGAACCCAGCAAAGAAAATCATCAACAGGTTCTAGTTGACCAGAGATACTTTCAGGTATTGAATAGCTGAAAAAACAGAGGGGTTTATAATGGACCTTGGTTTGGGTTGCTATGTGATTAATTATCACTTTCTTATACAGTTGTCCCTTTGTATATGTGGAGATTGGTTTCACAGTGCCTGTGTATACCAAATTCTGCAGATGCTCAAATAAATATACATAAAATAACATTTCTAATTATATATTAGAACATTTCTAATACAATAAAAATGCTATGCAGATAACAGTTATATTATCTAGATAATGGCAAGAAAATGTCTATTGATTAAGATTTTAAAAGATAGGGCTCTCCCAAAGCTATTTTCTTTTTATTTTTGTTGTTGCTATTTAATAAGTAAATCTATTATAGTCCTTTACAGTTTTGCTTTTGTTTGAATATTTAATCCATGTGAAATTTAATTTTCTATGTGGTATCATGTAGGCAGTCTAATCTTACTGGTTAAATTTTGAATTAATTGACAGTATTTTAAAAATTAGTGTGTATCCCTTTGGATGAACAATTTTCATGTAAAGCAATTTGAATTTACATATAAGAAGTAAAATATTGAAAGGTACACTAAAAAAAATTACTTGTAAATAAATATCCAAAGTCAAATTCTCAAAAGACCTGTTTGTATAGCTTGCGTACACTTGCTTGCTTTTTTTCTTAGTGTATTTGGTACAGGATATCACTACACAGCTTAGACTCATAGTGATCCTACTGTTTCAGCCTGATATCCTTATTTAGCTTAAATATAAGAGACAGGAACAAGGAAATATAAAGAATGTATGTAGCTAAGGCTGTCAGGGTGATTACTATTCTCCATGTGGTCATTTATGACTATTTCTCAGGTGAAATTCATTTAAGGTTTTTTTTTTGTTTTTTTTTTTTTTTTT